TTGTCCAACAAAATTTGATATTGTGACAGGCCTAGTTATAGTTTTGCTTTTTAAGGTTAGTCGGCTTTGGCAAACATCTTGAACTGTGTTGATTCCAAAAGTGTACATCCAATGATTACTTTAGGCAAGTTCTATTCAAATTTGTCCAGTGGTTTATAAAATATTTTCCTAAAAGACAGACACATGCTCACCGTTCTGTGATGGACAATGAGTTTCTTACATATCAGTCATACTACATGGCTGTAAAAAGTTCAAATAAATGTATTTTAATATCAAATAACATCAGTACTAGTGAGGGAAAAGTACAAGATTTTTCACATTTCAGCAAAAATAAATACCTGCATGCATGCCAAGGATGCTTTGCTGTGATTGTTTGGTCTGGATCCCACCCTCTGTGGGTCTCCTGCTGCTAAGAGGCTCTATTTCTGGCAGCAAGTTCTCTGTGAACCTTTAGCGTTCGAACATCCTGTTGGCAGACGTTGTGTTTCATGTACTGGCTCATAACCTTTTAACAAGTGCCAACATTGTACTCACATGTATACACACATCTTGCAAGCTAAAGTAGGAACTGAAGCCACGTTTGGACGATAGGCATCAAAAATCTGTATAAAGATTAGCTTAAAAAAAGTAGTTAAAGCGAGTGATATTTTATGAGTGCAGATAAGGGCAGAAAAGGAGAAGAAACAAAGATAGCAGAAGGAGATGGGAGTTTGCAGCAGAGAAGTGGTGGAGGGGCAGAACAGGAGACAGAGTGTGCAGTGTGCTTGTATTTTGCTGATACAGATCAGATTTCATAAAGATCCACATGACTGCCTCATAACAAGGGGATGCAGAGAGGAATGAGATAGAGATATGAGGCGGCGGCAAACAGAGACATGAAGAAATTGATAAATAGCTGCTTGCCCTCCCTGCAGCTGCTTTCTTTGTTTCTTTATTTTCTGGCTTGTGTTTTTCCCCACTAAGCTGTATATGATTAGCTTAACTGTAATTTGAAAAGAAAAATTAATTTCAAGGATAATAGCAGTGATATAAAGAGAGTGTGATTGAATCAGTGGCTGGATGAAGAGTTTTGGGTTGTTTTAGTTCTGAGTCGCACTGTTGTTGTCTGCACACTTTACTATGACTGTCCCCAGAGTTTCATCTTGGCTCCTGACTCCTCAGGTACCCTGACTGACAGTGAAAACTGGTGGCATCATCACTCCTTATGTTGAAGACTGGCAGGGGGCCAAGTGTGAGGCTAAGATGCTGCTGAGCCTGTCGTTTGTTCTGTCTTCTCTAACTTACTGAATGACTGATCAAATGGTTGACTGGGGGCTGAATGAGAACGAATGAAGTGGATTGGTTACTGTAAGTGATGCACTTTTAAAATATATTGAAATAAAAAGCAAAAATCAGTTTAAAACTCCTTGCTTATGCTTATTTGATCCATGCATGTTTAACACAAACATATCATTACAACAATTTGCCTAACATTGAGTGATTCCTTGTTTTGGTGCCAAACCAGCCCTGAATGCTGGAGTCCATCTTTCCGTCAAAACTCTGAAGGCATTCGACGGTGTTTTGCACAATTTTCTCTGTGTCAGAACCTTTACGTTCAGTAATTTGAGAGGTGGGGGTCTCCATTGATCAGACTTTATTGTCCAGGACAACCCACAGTTGCTTGATTGGATTGAGACATGGGGAATTTGGAAGCTAATTCAACTTGCTGTGCTCCTCAAATGACTCTTGAACCATTTTGGCACTGTGACAGGGCGCATTATCCTGGTGAAAGAGGCCACCGCCATCAGCAAATACTGTTTTCATGAAGGGGTGTGGGTCAGCAGCAGTGTTTAGAGAGGTGATGTGTAGCATTTACATAAATGTCAAGTTCTACTTGACTCTTTCGTGGTTCACTGGGTTTGCCTCTTTTTAACATGTTTTATCGGAGCATCTTTGATGTTCTGCACTTGTGGAAATGATGCAACCCTATTGCCATCATTTTGCTCTATTTAAAAATTGTTCAAATCTAAATGCTTGATTTGTTTCTTTTTTAGACACTGAGAATGAACAAAATGTTATTTTACTTCATAATAGATTGTACGACACCCACAATTAGATACTAGATAAGGATGCTTTACTTTATATTATGTCTGATTGATGCACAATAAGCATTACAGGGCATAACGTTTTAAAATCCACCAATGCAAAGATACAGCTCAGTAAGAGTTTGTGTTTTTGAATAAAACTTCAGTGAAACGGTCCATAAATTTCTATTTACTGTATATTTTCCATTTAATGTTTTACCTGTGGCTGATTTAAAAGAATACACTCTCTCCTCTACGTATAACAGTTATTTATTTTCAGGAGCAACTGAGAACTTAAATTATACAGTCCCCATTTTGGAAAAATTGAAAGAAAATACCAAAATTCACAAGAAAGTTGAATTTTCCTACTCTAAAACAGTGTTCTGAAAGTGGCGTATACACCTTGAATGCTAAAGTGCTGTTTATTCTTTCTTTTCCTTTCATGAACAAACTTGATATTATTTCAATTCTTCCAACCGTCCATTCCAGATTTACCATGAATTCAACACTACTCACCAACTGAAGGAACAAACAGATATAAAAAAATAAATTATGCCTCAGTGCCTTTAAAACTGTGCATGAATTTGTCATTAAAGAGTAATTGATTGTAGGGACAAAATGTTTCTTTTACACCTCGTCAGAAAACTTATGAGTCGGAATCGAAATATGACCTGTTGCTCTAATGGCAGCAAACACTGATGTTCCACTCATGTTGACATCATGTAGCTTACATCTAAAATATTGAGAAGGCAACGTTTTCAGTGGACATGGAGGCAGCAGTAGGTGTAACGTCCGTCTAGAAGAGCTGCACAAAAAAAAGACAGTTTTCTTAAGTTCAAAAGAGCGTGCTGCATGGTGAACCCACCTTTTACAATTCTGCCTCACTTTAACAAGGACTTTGACATTCAGAAGGCAAAATTAGCCSTTTTTGAGTCTCCTGATTCACTGCCCGTGTTTAAATTTTATTTATTTTTTATTAATCAAGACAGTGAGTGAATTAATGACAAAGTGCACAGAAATAACTATGCAATCTGATTACCAGGTTACAGCTAAATTAGATGTAATCAGCTTGGGTTTACAGAGTTTCTCATTTAACTAAAAGTCTGTCCCAGCACAGCAGTTAGTTAAAGCTTTTCAAATGTGAAGTAATACACACTACCCAGTGACTCATAGTTTTGCAGCTAAATTGTAAAGTAATAACCTGCCTCCAGGTTTATATTAAATCTTTAATCCTTACATTTACAAAGTGATATATTACAGTAAAATGTTTATTGCATGTGCACAAATATCATTATCATCAGCAGGTGTCCACAGCTGAATTGAGACGTGTTTAAATGTTGTTGTAATCAGTGCCTTTCGATACTCTGTGTGAAGTCATTATTTTTGCTCATGTAGTAAGTGCTGGTCGATAGGAAAAAGGATTATATTAAGCACATAAATGGCGTGATTCTTTGCAGTGACTTGTGTTTTGGTGTGTGTGTGCGCTGTTATTTGTGAGCTTGTTCTTGAACCAATCTTACATGGCCACTGGGTTGCAGAGATATTTGATTCTACAACAGAGTCGAGCAGATCTGTTGCTGTTTCTGTGTTCTCCTTGAAAGTTTTCTATGTTTTTAGGGAAAGTTGATGCAAAATCTTTACAAGTCAATCTTAATGGTCTTAGGGAGAGTTTTGATCCAAAAGGATAAAAAAACAAAGGCCTCCAAGCTCCCTCTTTGTGCCCCAGATCTCCAAGTGATCCTTAGCTCTCACACAACCTTTCCCTGGCTGCATTTATAATGCATTAAGGCATTATGCAATGACCATGAGTCCAGGACGGTTACAATAGTCTGGCAGCTGTCAAAGCACCAGGACGCCAATTACTCCGCACGGTCATGGGCCATCTCTAACACCTTTCTCTGACTTTCACCTTCTTATGTTGTAAATACGGTGGAAAAATATAAGCAAGAATGAAAGCAGAAAAACAAAGGGTATAAATGAAAGTGACAGAAAAAAAATTCAGATTTGTTGGATGAGTTCAAGGAGGAAAGGAACATAGGAACATGAGAGAAAGTGTATGAAAAACAAACACTCTGTATAGACATGAGGGAAGATGACAAAATCAAGGGCAGCTTTGGATTATTAAAGATGGCCAGAGTTCACACCATCTGTCAAAACTATGCTTCTGTAAATTGGTAAAAAAAAAAAGTACTACTAATAAATAGATATTCATGCTGAGTTTTAGGGATAATTACAGTAAATCCTTCCTCAAACAGATATTTCTCATTATTCTTAGATACCTTTTAGGTTAATTAGTAGTTTAATAGTGGAATTTAGTCAGACAATAACATAAACGGATCACATTCACACACATTACAGTAACACTCATTGAACAATGACGTTACAGTTTAGTTTTAAGTTTGTTTTATTAGAATTTTTGTGGACAAAGAGAAAAAAGGGGAGCATTTATTGGAGAACAACCAGGCTGCTTGTTTATAAAAAAATAGTTGGGCAAAACGAAAAACCTTATGCAGTGATTTGTAACTTTCTAAATTTTGTAAATCTGCTCACAAATTTAATTTAGAAGCTGAGGAGTGACCATCTCTTTAAAAGGTTTTGTTTAAATGTCAGTGTATATTCATTTCAATCTAGAGTCCAAAAATAGTGTGAAATTAAAAGCTATTTTTCTGACTTTAACAAAGATCTTTTGTTTTTGGCATGTCCTTTTCTATTATGTATTGTTGAAGGACTTATTATTCAGAAATCAAAATGAGATGTTCTTAAATTTGAAAGCAGTCATAATCACTTTCATTCAAAAATATGAAATTTGCTTTGATATGCACATTTTTTATCTACAACACTCAACCTTTACCATTACCAGCTTCAATAATTTACATGCTGAAGATTGGAAACTGTACCTTATTGTCATAATTTTTACATTGCTTTATTCTCTTTCAGGTACAAGAGTGGTTATGTCTGAACTGTCAGATGCAGAGAGCACTGGGAATGGACATGACCACGCCGCGCTCCAAAAGTCAGCAACAAATCCACTCTCCTTCACATTCCCCCAATCCTGAACTTAAACCTGATCTTTCAAATCAGCCTGCACCCCCAACACAAGCCCCCCATCAAATGCAGCCCCAAGCACAGGCCCATCCTGCACCCGGCCCCACCAAACAGACTGGTCCAGCTGGCCCCGGTCAGCAGCAACGGAAACTGCCTCCAGGGGCTGTCCCTCTTCCCGGGATGGCAAAGGCTCCGTCCCAGCCTGATCTATCTCGAGGCTCTCCCGCTCACCAAGCCCAGCAAACACGCCAGGACCAGACCCGCAGTGCAGGGAGTTCCCCTTCTCGACAACCCCCTCCCCCTGAACAGACCTTTGGGAAGTTGTTTGGCTTCGGTGCGTCTCTTCTTAACCAAGCCACCACACTCATATCTGAGACCACTCAACCTCAACAGCAACCCCCGAAACCAGCTCCTAAACCTGGGGGGTCACCTGGTCTGGGTCCTGGAGCTGGTAAGCCTTCGGGACCACCCCCTACACAACAAGGGCCTCGAGCTGCTGCACAACAACAACAACAACAACAACATGCAGCTCCAGACTCCTCGAAGCCTAAAACCTGCTGTCCCATCTGTAAAACCGCCCTCAACATCGGTAACACATCAGAGGAACCCAACTACAACACGTGCACACAGTGCCACTCCAAAGTGTGCAACATGTGTGGATTCAATCCCACTCCACACCTAGTTGAGGTAGGACTCTGAGTTGATCTGTTTGGTGTTTGCCTAACAAGGTATTAGCTGCACTGCAAAAACTGTCCATCTTACCAAGTTTTAAAATCTTAAATCCAGCCAAAAGTCTTTTTGATCTTGTTTTGAGACTGATTTACTAAACAAGAACTGATTGTGTAAGAATAATAATCTTGTTTTCAGAATGTGAAAGATTATTTGTCTTGTTAGTCTGAAAATTTGACTCAAATTAAGTCAAACATTTCTGCCAATGGAGTAAGAAAATTTTACTTGGTAAGATTCTTGAAATACTTGATTTGACTCATTTTTTTTTCTTATTTCAAGTATCTTACCAAGTAAAAATTTCTTACTCCACTGGCAGAAATGTTTGACTTAATTTGAGTCAAATTTCCAGACTAACAAGACAAATAATCTTWCACATTCTGAAAACAAGATGATTATCCTTACACAATCAGTTCTCAAAACAAGATCAAAAAGACTTTTTGGTTGGATATAAGATTTTAAAACATGGTAAGATGGACAGTTTTTGCAGTGTGCTCATGAGCTGTTTTGCACAGCATAGTTTAGCTAAATTAACCAATTCAGCCTCACATTTGTTTGGTGAAAAAATATTGTATCTTGTCCAGCAGGGTTGTTTGCTTTAATCATTATTGCCAAGTCTTGAGGTGAACAGATGGTAATTACAGATAATTACTGTTTGAATACAATAACTACTGTATTAGCTTCAGCTGCTCTCAAAGGTTCAGAGGGGATTGCCTTGTTTTATATCAATGCATTACCTTTTTTAATGCTCCAATACTGCTCATTCTCAGTCTTCTTTACAAATATTTATTTAATACAAAAGACATATCCAAGAGTGACTGATGGATATTTTTTGTAGCAGGTGCTTCATAGTGTAAGTTTACATGATGCTATTGAGCTCTGCCTCCTGTCTTTCTCTTTGTGTTTTCCTGCACTGAAAAAACTGTCCATCTAACCAAGTTTTAAAATCTTATATCCAGCCAAAACATCTTTTTGAATCTTGTTTTGAGCCTGATTTACTAAACAAGAACTGATTGTGTAAGAATAATAATCTTGTTTTCAGAATGTGTAAGATTATTTGTCTTGTTAGCCTGACAATTTGACTCAAATTAAGTTAAAAAAATGTCTGCCAATGGAGTAAGAAAATTTTACTTGGTAAGATTCTTGAAATACTTGATTTGACTCAGTTTTTCTTATTTCAAGAATCTTATCAAGTAAAAATTTCTTACTCCATTGGCAGAAAGTTTTGACTTAATTTGAGTCAAATTTTCAGGCTAACAGGACAAAYAATCTTACATATTCTGAAAACTAGATTATTATTCTTACACAATCAGTTCTTGTTTAGTAAATCAGTCTCAAAACAAGATCAAAAAGATTTTCTGGCTGGATATAAGATTTTAAAACTTGGTTAGATGGACAGTTTTTGCAGTCGGCACCTGCTTCGTTCAGCTCTGCCAGGGTCTTTCATGTTGTTACTCGATGAAAGTCCAAACCATGACTCACCTCATCAGCGACCCTACCGTGCAGCAACACAGAAATGTACGATCAGCTTAGCACAGGAAACAGCCTCATAAAATTCAACTGAGTGGATTATTTTAGTATTTCTTATTCACATCCAGGGGTCACGTGAGGGCATAGTTCTTCTTTCCACAGTTCCACCTCACCCTGCGTCATGCTGAGTCTCGATAGTGACAACAGGGATCTGCAGTAGTTTCCAGAGCCAAGCAATAACAGAGTTTGATTATGCAAATCAAGTCCAATTGAATGATAGCAGTAATAACAGGCTTTCTGCAGAGCTCAAGCTTTTTATGGAAGAGTCTTGTCTTTCTAGGCATCTAGTTGTCACAGCCACTCGCGCAGACCATTCATAGATCACTATGGAAACAGAGAGATAATTTGTTTGTCAGCCATCCCTTTTCGTGTTTGGCTGCTGAGACGGTGAAAGTCTCCAAAAACTTTCGGGCTGCTATTGTTCTGTTTTCATGACAGATGCAGTTCCTGGGTGTGCTTCGGTTCTGCTCCGCAGACTCGGTCTTGCAAGTCAGTTTAACAAAAGGTGCTGTTTTCTATCCAAACCTGTAAATAGCTTTTGTTATTATCCTGTGTGAGCTGGATGACTGGTCACTTAAGAGCGAGTAGAAAAAAAAGCATAAAACTTTAGAACACAATGTGAGGCTTTCTGTGCTTTGAAGCTCAGTGAAATTTCCACAGCCTTTTTTTTGGCCCAACCATCATCCTCAGCTGCTCCCATTTCCCCTAAAGTGTCATGTTTCTCAGAATGTTCTTTGTATTCATAGTTTTTATTGTCTGAGCTGACTGTAATTAATAGTAACTATTTTAACCATCCTGCTGCCCTTGGGTCAAAATGACCAACGTAGCCTCAGTTTTAAAACTGAAGTCTTGTGAGTCATTTTGACCTAAGGGCAGCAACAGAGTAAATGTGAGTATGGCGACAAGGCTGTCAGAGCAAAAAATGCACCAACATTATGTCATGTCACACTGGCTGAAACGATAGGCAGTGGAAGAGAAAACTCAAGTTGTTTATTATTATAGATTTTTTTTTCTGCTAATCTGTTAAGAAAGTGTTTCAAAAACAAAGGGGAACAAAACCCACTTTAAAGCTCATTTAAAGTTTCAAACAACAGATTTTTTGTTTACTTATGCTATGAGTCACTAAGACAAGAGAAATGAAAGTGACAGAAGCTGTTGATGAGCAGCTGTTGTGTATATTTCTGTCTTCGGCTCTTGTGGTATCAATCATACCATCAATGTCCGCCTCATGTTTCTCATCTGCTTCACTGCTTAACAGATCGATGCAGATTTCACTGCCACGCATGTCAGCGCACAATCAAAGTGATTCAGTCCCTTCCCACCAGCTGAGCTGCGGCGTGTTCTGTCAAAAAAAAGTCAGAGATGTGACGCTGCACTGACAAGTAGCCACTCGTAAGGTGTAATTTTTCCACAACACATTCGAGTTAGTCTTACCTGGTTTGGCGAAGAAGGTGGAAGACTACTGAAGGTGCAATATTTCTTCACATATAGTCCGATGCTCTGCTTTCTCCCTGAAGTCTTTGAACCTAAACCTCCTCAAACATCGACTAAAAATAAAGTTTAAAATCTCAAACTGTTATCAATTTTTATATTCTCTGTTGCGAAAGACACAAATTGGACCCAATAGTTTGGCAAATTGTCTTTGCTTATTGCTGGCTTTAGGAATTTGCTGTCAGTAGGACAAATATACTTTAACAAGATTCATTCTTTTTCCTCATTAAAAAGGTATTTTTTAAATAAGCTTCTATATGCTGCTTTTGTTTATTCATTTACTCAAAAGTAGAATTTTTTTTTTTTTTTTGCCACAAGAATAAGTAATTTATAGTAAACAAGGTCCTTTTTTTCAGTGTTGACAGATAAGAAAATCGTTCTTCTGGGACAATTTAATGCAAACAAAGGGGAAAACCAAAAATGTTGGCTGGAATAAGGTCCATAAAACTGCTATATTCTTGACAAACAAATGTTTCTAAATGTAAAATTTAAAAAATATCTATTGATTCAATTGAAGTTCAGGTGCTATACTGTTTAGTCAAATCACCTACTCTGATAAATGATCATCACGTCCTCTTATGAAATAATGTTACAGTCTGAAGAAAATATGTTAAAAGTGTTAGAAATACGAATAAAAAATCACTTTCTTTTACATTTGTTCTGACACAATGCATAATTCATTTGGAGCGAATTAGGCTGAGCTACATCATAAGAAAAATAGTCTGCTCTGTATTCTGCGATGAGACGACGAGACGCCGGTGTCTGTGGGAGAACGAGTAGAAGAAATGAAGGAGGAGAGGAAGGGAAGAGGTGAAAGATCGGGGAGAACAAGAAAGTGAGAATCAGAGATAATGAGTGAGAGGAAGCCAACTGTTTGTCACATTGCAGAATATTTCACATCAGTGCTGAAAGTCACGAGTGGCTCTGAGTAAATAGAATGTCCTTGTTTTGGGACTTTAACTCCCCCATTATGCTTCTCAGGGAGACGAATAAAAAACTGTGTGTCATCATCATCTCCTCAGACTTTAGTTGTAAAAACAACATAAAGGGTTTTGCTGTCTGCTGCTATATCTGATTTATAGTCAATCGTCTTTCCTGGATTGCTTTGTTTTTCTGTCTCGCCTTTTGCTAGCATTTTCTACTCAACCCGGCGAAGCCAATTCACCAGACGTGTGCCATGGATTAGGTTTGGTTGCTATAATGCATTAGGTCTCAACTCCCCGAAGTATATATAAAACATAATTTTTCCCCCTGTCACTTTTCTTATATGGCTAAATTCTTTTCGTCCCCACAGTTTGGCAGGCATCGTGGTTTGATTCGGTGTGCCTATTATTATGAAACAGAAGCGTGCTCACAGTTTCTAATGAGGTGGAGGCCCTGAGTGGGTCATAAATAAGGACTGAGTATTTCACACAGCTGTAGAAAAGGTGTAGAGAAACAGAAAACATTGCTCATCAATGATTCAGGTGTACATTATAAATAGTTTATGCAGCGTGGCGCAGCGAGAGGACTGTGTTTGATTCCTCCTGTCACATAATGTCGATGCTTGTGTAAGCCCAGGCATATTTGTGTGAGGAGAAATGCGCCGTGACGATACAAAAGTCTGCGTGAGTTTGTTCGTTTAAATATTAAGATCAAATATTATTATAGGAAATTCAAGTACCCTGCTTTCACAAACATTAAATTCTTTGATTTATGGCTTAAACATGGCTTTCCTTCTGCTTAATGAGACTCCCTCACGCTCTGATCTTCTGGAACATTAGGGCAGATCAGACAAACTTGAGTTTGCATAAGCTGTGTGTCAGCAAAGTAAAGTTCAGTTGTGGTCTTGTCTGGCTCTCATTAATGGTCACCGTTTGATCTACCAAAAATAGCACACATTAAAAATGAGCTTTAATGCCGTTGAAATGTGTATCAGTGAATGTCTTCAGTTTCTGATAGCTGCCTGCAGAACAA